ATACATACATACATACATACATATATATATATATATATATATATATATATATATATAATTTTTTTTTTTTTTTTACATATTAAACAACACTCACTTTTTTAGTACCTGCTAAGTGATACTGTATTGACGGACATTTTATTGCTCGTGAACGCTCTATTAATAATCTTGTATCCCATTCCTGAACTGTAGGATACGCCTCAAGTTGGTAACCAGAGCGATAATAAACTACAGCCACTATCATATTTTCCCTAAAACAATAAAAACAATAGTATTCTAAATGTTTTATTAAATTTTCAAAACATTCAATGTGAAAATGTTTGCATTATATAGGATGCGAAAAATGTACTGAAACCTCTGAACACCTCATTAATAATGTGTTAAAAAAAAAGTTTCAAACAAATTTTCGGTATATTTTCCCCACTTTGTTAGGAGATTGTAACAACTTACACAATCAGTTCCTTGTTTGATCCTAGTTTTATAGTATGTTCAGATACTAAGCTCGTTAGACTTCTCCTAATAATCTTGATATCCGGATTTAATCGACGAATTTCAAATTCATGAAACCTCTGGTCGCATATATTATAAGTTACATCCTCGACAATAAACAATATAATAGCCCTGAAACAGTTCTGAGTTCAAAAGTCTTATTTACAAAGTATAGCAATACAGAATATATAATCTATTCTGATATTCAACCTACTCTTTATTATTGTATATTTTCCATGCTTCTACTAAACCATTGCAAAATCCAGTAAGACTATTGTTTTCTGGAATCTTATGAAAAATAATAATTATAGTATATGAAACATCACCACACAAAAAAATGTAGCAATGCCAGAAACAATTTAGAAGCAATAAGATAAACTTAGTTATGTTGTAATATAATAAATAACCATGTAATCACCTATATTTTATGAAAATGCTCTTAAGAAATAGTTAACTTACATTTTTTGCTTTTTCTGCATATCCTAGTTCTGCTAATATGTACCTAAAATAATATCCATCATTAATATATATATATATATATATATATATATATATATATATATATATATATATATATGTATGTATGTATGTATGTATATTTAAAAGGACAAAACTATAAACTTATATAAAAATAAAAACTTATTAAATACTTACTTGTGGTATTGTGATGTAATCCTAGCTATACCAGCAAAGCTAGATGCTATCGTATTTACTTCAACCTGCTTTATTTTACCACCTGAGTCTCCATGTAACAAATAATCTGACCTTAATAATCCGAGACTTACATTCTAAAAAAAAAGACCAAAAACAATTCATATCATATAATCAATATCCATATGACCAAATGTCATCCAATTATCATCTAATGGTGAATACCATTATCGTTTAATTATTACCTGACTGAAACCTTCCTGGTATACAGCCTCATATATACGAAATAATTCTGCTGTAAATGGATCAGCTTTGATCGTGCTATCATACAAACATATGATGCATTAAAATAAAAAAAAAATATACATAATCATAGCTTTAATAATAATACCTTTTTAAACTAGTTGTAATGAATTCCTTATCATAAGCAACCTTATGAATAAGTTCGTTCAATAAAGTTTGTACATTTTTTGCAGTTTGAAAGCTCTTTTTAGGAAAACTTGTTGGCAACAGCGCAAAAGGTAATATATGCACTTCGTCTTTGTTAAAATTCTTCTTGGATTTCATGCTTATCCCTGTAACATTAAAATATTGATTTTTTAATTCAGTATTTAAGACAAATAATTCTAATTGATTTATATGTTGTCTCGAGATCTTTACAATTGAATCTACGAAGAATTGCACAGCCAACTATTTGTTACGTAAGTTTCACGCGCCTAATTACTAAGCAGAACTTTATCAACAACAAGATATTACCGTGCATAAGTGCCCAATCTTTTGCTTTATCTACGGTTTCTCTTAGTTCCTTCTCCGAAAGAGGATGTCGAATGCAAGGTTCCAATCGAGAAATGTTCATGATAAAATAATTAAATCAAATATATAAAATGTTATTCTATGTAAAATTCTACACACAACCAAGTTCGAACGTCAACTGCTGTCAATAGAGTTCGAATAAGTAAAGCGAGCAAAATGAAAAGACGACGTTAGTGCCATCTAAATTTGACTATCAGTACGATATAGCTATGTGTAGGTAAAAAGAATGTCCGAATGTGCCGTTGTGATTATAACTGTGTCGAAATATTGGTCTGCGCGCGCGTTCCTACATATTCACTAACAATATTAAAAATCTATAATTGATGTTACATACTCTAATAATACTGACTGATACGGTATTAAGAATAAATATCGAAACGCAGGAGAAATTTGGAAATTTTCGGAATGCTCGATTCTAACCTTTAAATTTTTAAGCATACTTTTCTTAATAACGATCGTTATGTTTGTTCATATTCTTTTTTTTTGCGTCGGTACCATCAGCTGTTTGTCTTGTCGCGTCATTCTCACGTGCACCTTTGTTTGGTTGCTATCATACGCCAACAACTTGTTAATCGCCGTTAGTTATCGAACATGCTACTTGTGCAGAACATTAGTTTCGCAGAAAATGTCATATGTGCAATCTGTTATAAATAAATTTTATAAAGAGGACCGAAATTTATATATAAGATATTTCTAAACATTTACTTGATTATTTGCAGTTAATCCCAGGCAACACAAATCTCTTCCAAGGGACGTCTTTTGGAAGATCTGTGTTGTCTGAGAATAATTTTGTAGTTCAGTGAATATATTGAATATATATTGAATGTAAACTATACTCATTGATCCATTCATATCTGTAATAGAGAAATATACTCTTTGACTTTATATATCTTTATGGATATGTGTATTTTACTAAGTTGGCTGTTTGTAATATTACATATTATTTTACATTCATAAAACAACTCTCCTGTTTCATATCGCAAATGTCCTGCTTAAAAACTGATAAAATTGGATAAAAGAAATCAATATAATCATCTTCTGTTGATTCATAAATTACATATTTCTTATCTGATACGTTCGATAAATTGTCTATCTTCTCTTATCTATTTTCTTTGTATTAATACATATTTAGATTGTTATCGATAAAAAATGTTTAACTTTTGATCACACTATCAGATGATTGCTTCTAAAAGATAAGATATGATTCTGTTTCTATTACATATATTATTAATCCATATAGTATAAGAATTTTTTTCACATAAAACTAATAAACACATCTTTTGACAGCATTAAATCATAATTTGTCAGTTAAATCTGACGGAATGTTAACAACTAAATTGAAGGAAACATTTAGATTACAACAGGATATTGTTAAAGATAAAGGTAGAAATCTTCATAATTAATACTAGCACTCATAGCATTAATCTATAATATAACATAATATAAATCTATAATATAACATTAATTTTATTTTCCAAATATTTCGTAGATATATATCCAGGATCATTATATATTTTTGCAAGACATTGCAGTCTCATAATTATCATCCGTTTAAATTTGCGCGCGCATGGCGCTGAGTCGAACTAAATCGATCGCATCAATATCTCGATATCTCGAAAGTCACAATTATTGCGATACGGTCGCTTGTATTACAAATGGCGGCACGTCATTTCGGATCACAGACTTCTATATACAGTAATCTCTCGATAATTTGCCGCCCAAAGGACTGTAGGAGCGGAAAATTGGTTAGACGACAGTTTCCCGAAAAGTGGAGGGGATAATGTTGGTACCAAGGAAAGTCTCTACACGATATAATTTAAAGATTCTGTTCTTTGTAACTGCACTGCTGAACTGGTGCAATAAATTGAAGTGAAGCAAGTATACGTTTTCTCACTCTAACCTTTTGCATTAGTTCAGCAGTGTAGTTACAAAGAACAAATCTTTAAATTATATCGTGTAGAAATTTGTTTTGGTACCAACATTGTCCTCTCCACTTTTCGGGAAACTGTCGCCTAACCGCTAGCTCGCTTCGTGCCTACGTCGCGCGGTCCGCTCACCAGTGATGAGACCAGAGGTCTGTCCTTTTTAGTTGCACTGGTGCAATAAGTTAGAGTGAGACAAATATATTTTATTTCATTATAGCTTATTGCACCAGTGTAGCAGTGCAGTTGAAAAGAATAGAGCGATTGGACGTCTGTCCTTTTCTAACATTATCCTTATTATCATTGTACGGAATACAACGCGGGCACGAACCAGGCATTTTATCGTTACCACCGCGAAAATGCGTCTAACGAACGTAGTAAAAGCGCACTTTGCTAGATGGCGTCTCGAAAATGCGTCTGGCTCTGGCTATTTTGAAATCAGGCTGGTGGCTGCTCTCATGCTTCTCTCTGCTTCGAATTCCAGAAACCATTCCGTATTTCCCGACGTTTCAACTTGCTAAAACGTATTTCTCTTGAATTTACAGTGAACAAGAAAATGCATGAAAGAACTGAAGAGAATTTCTATTTGCTAAATAATAAATTGCTCTAGTCATCGAAACCGACGGTCAGTTTTCCACTCTTTTTCCACTCATAGAAGAAATAAATTCAGATAGTAAATTTTGATATATTTGCTTATGTTGAAAGGAGTCTTATTTAAAAAATAAGAATTAGAGAAATTTAGTTTCAGTGGTATCTTATGTAGTTTGACGTAAAATACATATAGTGTCAGTAATTAGATTAATCTTTATTCCCCCAACCCTTATAGAAAAGTATCACTGGCTGTGATAAATTGGCCAGTAATAAATAGTAATTTTATTACTCGTACGAGTAATAAAATTATTGAACGACAGTAATTATCGCTGGCCAAATTATCACTTATCAGTATTAAATTTCTATAAGGGAAGTGTAATTGGAGATATTATCTTGTACATTATGATACACAGAACAATGCATATTACATTCAAATAAATGTTGCTTGTTTTTCATTTTCAACTTTATATATCTGTAAATTTATCGTAAGTTCATCATAAGCATTAAATGTATTCAAAATACTCTATAATATTCTATACTCTAATACATATAGCATTTCAAAGAAAAAATATGAAATTATTATAAACAAAAATTTGATTTAACTAACAGAATCAATTTTTTTATAAACTTTTACAGTATTCTTTATTCTAAAGAGAATAAATTTTTTTAATTATATGAAAATGAGTTTTTCTCAAATTTTCAATATATTTTAAGACTATCATCAAGATAATATTCTTTGTTGAAGATAACCATTACTTCAAAGAAGGAAAGTAAATTAATCATTTTTTTTAACAGTACCCAGTAAACATTGCATATCAGTAAATAATATCAGTAATATAAATGTTATATTATTGATACTTGGTATTTACTGGGTAGAATAATATTTCTCTGTGTGTAAAGTATATCAACGGAGTGAAACGATATAATTATTGAAGATGTACGATAACTCAGCATGTGATCGATATTTTGAAAGTCTCTAATAAATTGCACAAACGATACTCTGTTATCTTATACAAGACGTATGTATTTTCCACTATGCCGCGTATTGAAACAAAAACGCGGACGGCGTGCGGATGGGTATCAATCTTTGATCGCCGCCGCGATCTATCACGACGTAATAATCGCGTCCGTTGATACAGTGCTTCTTCCCCCGAACGAAATTGTGTGGAGCGTTCTGATGCAAAGGCTGCACGCTTCTTTTCTGCATGTTGATCCGACTGTCGAACAAACGATCCTTCGTGATGTACACCAGTTCCGGTGTTACGACTTTCTTCGATTGCCGTTTCGATTTGCAACACTTGCAGGTCGCTTTCCATCGCTTGTAAATGTTCGTAGCACATCTAATCGTTAGCTCAACGAGGAAGGCCACAGACGCGATCACGTATCCAGCGAGCACCACTTTATAAGTCAGGGACAGATCGGAATTCGTCAATTGCCGTTCGGTGGACCGCAGATCCACCGGGCACACTTCCGCGAGTGGTAAATCTCTCTGTTTTGCGCGTTTTATTATGCCGGCTTCCACCAGAGCCATCAGTCTGAAACACGTTTCATAATTAGAGATTACATCAATTACACATCAAAGAATTCAAGTAGTTTATCTGAATAAATTCTTACTATCTCTGAGAGAAAAAATATTCGAAAAATAAAGAAATATTTATTTGATGAATGCTAATAACATATTTATCTAAATTTTTCTTTGCTTAAGAAGAATTGTTTTTATCAAAAGCTAAGAAAAAATTTTAAGAAAATATATTTTTACTTATTTTAAAATAAACATAAAATATTTTATATATTAGTATAAACAAATATGTCATTAGTACCTGCCGAACAAATATTTTTTTTTTATTTTTTAGATGCTTTTCCCTTATAGAAAAATATCAGTGATAAATTGACCAGTAATAAATAGTAATTTTATTACTCGTACGAGTAATAAAATTATCGAGCGACAGTAATTATCACAGGCCAAATAATCACTTATCAGTATTAAATTTCTATAAGGGTTTCCTATCAATATAATAATGTTTATTAATAATAAATATTTAATGCGATTTAAATTGCATCATATGCTCAGCTACTTTGGTACACAGATACACTTGTATTAGTTGTACTTTTATTCGGACTTATCAATGTTTTTATCGCGAAAATTTGATACTCACTCTTTATTGATTGGTTTCTCTAAAGGAGAGCCTAAGGGGAAGGCGAATGCTCTATTGGTAACGAGAATCGTGCTAGGCATAATGACATATGTACACTTCTTCTGATACTCCAAGTGTAGACGGGTTTTATTGATGTAATCCTCGAATATCAAAGACTGAAGGTAATGGGCTTCTTCCAGGAACAATTTGTCTAAAGATTAATATTATGCTTTTGTTCACTATCAAGACTAGTTTCGAGATCTGAATAATCGATGGTACTCACTTTTGTCGACGGCGTTGAGAATAGCTTTAACTGGATATTCGTACGCCGTGATATAGCGGCCTTTTCTTCTTGTAGAATTTAACAGGGACAATTCATCCGGGTGGTACTGAAAGCGTTAAAATGCTCTCTTCAAATTATCTTCTAATTATCTTGACGCATACTTCGTTATATCATGTACTATTTCTCTAAGCCAAAACATCTCTTAATTTTTTATTCTCTTTGCAATATTAGTTATTATCTCACAATACTATTAGATAATAAATAATAGTATTTAATTTGTCAGCATTTTTTATGGGCTTGCGTTTCATAAAAGCCGCCTTCACAGGCTTAACGTGAATCACTTAAAAATTGGACGTGCAAATATCTACCTGAGTGATCAAATACTCGATCGTACGTCCTTTGTAAGTGACCCACTGATAACCCTTGCGCACTATATCATTCAGAGAGTCGATCGGCAAGGTGAACTGCGGTCTTGTGAGAAACGCGGTAAGATTTGCCGTGTAGAAGGACGTTAATATCAAGATGAAAATCCACCATGTGGCGAACAGAATTCGCGTCGAGTCTGCAAGAGATAAATTCATCGCTTTCGAGTTGTTGCGAGACGAATTGTTGCTTCGATCGTTACAATAACTGTATACAAATTACACTTGCATTTCCTTAAAAATCTGATAGCATTCAAATATAATTAAAGTGTCTTGTTCCTCGCTTAATTATCACTATCAGCGTACTCGAACCGTGAATACGAATTAAATAAGATTATCATCCACACGCAAATGCTACCATTCTCAAGGGAATACAAGTATTGTCATCCGCATGACGCGTACGGTAATGATGTAAATATTAAAAGTCAAAAAGACAATCTCATACCTGTCATCGCAGCTATAGTCGTCCCCTGCTTCAATAAAGAACTGTATACAAACCACATGCAGGGGAACAGGCCATAATTCTCCGAGTTAGGATCGCCCCATAATTTCGCCCTGCAAAATCAACATGATTAGATGACGTATACTTGATTAACGTGATGTATGAGTTTGGAATGATTTGAATATTAAGTATAGGGGTTTAGTTAGTCAGGTTAGGCAAATTAAGTAGTGTACAAGTGAAAACGGAACAAGACGTTAGATAGGAAAGCAGGACAGAAAAAATGCATAAATAATAAAGGTTATGATATCATATAAAGGAACAGGTAGTTAGAGTAGTGTGGGTAATGCAGGGACAAGCTAAAATGATAATGCAAAGGAAATATATAATAAGTGATAACAGAAGACTGAAATATACGAGGGATGAAGGAAAAAGAGAATGAAGAGAAAAAATAAAGAGAAAATGATCATCGAAGAAGAATGACACCAGAAGAAGAACTGGTTGGATAAGTACTGCGTAAATATGAAAGATGGAGTGAAAAAAATAAGAGGAAAATTATAGGATATGAAATATTCCTTCTTGGAAATGTAAGCTGAAGGAGACATGTAGGAAATGAAGGAAAAGGCAGAAGAGATTTGGCTGAAGGAAGCAGAATTTGAGGTTCTTACGAGTAAAATTTGGTTTATAAAAACGCATTTGTCATCGTTGTCAATTTAACTAATCTTATTTCTCCGTGCTTTTGATCTTCTGTTTTTTCTTTTTTCTTTCGATGTTCAACGAACCTAAATGTGGCGAAAATGTAGATTATCGGTCCTACCGAGAGCACCGAAGCCAATACCAATAGCCAAACAGTTTGGTCAAACGGAGCGAGCAGTCCCGAGCCGGTCGCCGATTCTTGCGGTCGCTTCATCAAAGCTGTTAGTTCGCCTTGGTCCAAGGCTGTGCTAAACGTGCAATATTTCCGCAACTCCGGCAAAATTGGCAAGAAAGCCACCGCCATGTCCACCTTCTGTTCGAAGAACGAGAACTTTTCAAGTTTTCCTCGATTATTCGATCTACTTTTCTTTCTCTTCGGAAAAAATTTAATCTACCTCTGATCGCGCACGAGATGAGTCAATCGAGCACGCGAATATTACATTTTCGCTAAAAAAAAAAAACTAATTCTATTTTCTTTACGCAAATCAAAGAGACTCACTTGCTGAACAGTAATTAAGAACGACAATTCGGGATAAAAAAAAGTAAAGTATCTTTTCGTACGTAAGTACCTTTTCGTAGAGTAAACTTAATATTCCCTTCCGCTTGTCGCCCAGTACGTGCTGTTTCGGCGGCACGATAGTATACGTGAAATTTAATTTGGAACTGAGCAACTCGAGCAAGTAAAACGCATAGCCTTTTCCAACCCATGTGCCGTTCTCCATCGTTAGACCGGAAAATGGCATGTCCTGCAACAATTTCAAGCCATTGCGATCAATGTCTATGTAACATACAATGCATTTAATATTCATTAATTCACAGGATAATCGTGATCTTAATTACTCATAATAAATGTGATCAAACCGCGAAAATGGACGTGCAAGGAATAATTCAACGCGTATATCTTTATTTGGTCACACTGAGAGGAAAAATATTTGAAATAACACATGAAAAATAATTATTCGGTGGTTACATATTTACTTAAATCTCTAAATTTTCCTATTTAAGTAAAATAAACAATAGCTTTCATGAAAAACTAAGAAAGTTTTCAGAAAATGTATCTCTTGAAAAATATTTGATATTAGTAAATATGTTATTAGCCGAATAAAATATTTTTAATCCTTACATATTTTTTCTCTCAATGTATGTCGCTATGTGTGATGTTACTGAAATTTTACGCTCGAACTGACGTTTATCCATGATGCCGTTCTAATTTGTTGCATCTTTGCACATGATGCGTCGCGATTATTTTGCGCACAACTCGAATGTATTTATATTTTAACGTTCGATTTTAACGGACGCGTTGACAGGCGTTATAAAACTTGCAAGATGCGCAGAATATCGGCAGATATATATCTGATATATCTGAAAAGTGAGCGTAGTACTTATTAAAAAACACGATACTCACGTAATGCGACAGCCTTAATAACACGCTCGATTACTGAATAGCGCTCTTTGTTTAGAGCGTCACGCGAGACACGCGACGCCATCGCAAAGAAATTCTTCGATTTCCGACCATGCAGTAGTTGCAATTATTGCAATTATTTCCCTTAACTTTCTCCCTGTTAAGCGTTGTGAATTTTTCATATTTTTCTTCGTAATAAGAGATGCGCGACGACTCGAAATATGAGATGACCATTAAAATTCGAGTAACAGCGGTATATAAATGTGGGGATAAAGGAAAATGGGAACATTCGAGAATTAGATAACGCGCGCACTTTTCTTCTGCGAAGACTCGAGCGCTTTTACGCCACATTCTGACCTACTACGATCATTGATTCTTTCTCGAACGTTCTCACATTTACGTGTTATTCAGAACAACACATAGTTGCAGCCGCACTCATGGCCGTAAATTGTACTTAGAAAATTGTAGCATATTTTTGCGGTAGAAGTGACTCTCGCTGCTGGAAGATTACATGCGAGATACGTTTGACGATCTTACAGGTCGTGTTTGGCTTTTTTCACGTAGGAAAAAGACCAAAGTAAGACGTTTTGACGTTTTGATCAATAAATCATGCGACAGATTGTCACTTCAGATACACGATATAGGTATGGACGTATATTGTTTTTGCAAATAGTTTTTCGAGCTCTCTAAATTTTCTGGAGCAAAAAGTAGCAATATTTTCGCTCGAGATGATAGTGAAAATACTGCCATTTTTAACTTCAAGGAATTTAGAGAGTACTCTTCGTAAATACGTTTTGAGTATGCGAGGCACGCGCGAAAACTGAGAAAACGTATCAATTAATGAAGAAATTTGCAGTTTATTATTGCAGTTTATTACTCATCATAATCTTTGCAATTTCGGAGAAGACGCTAAGGGAAATGAGCACTGATAATTGCCCATTAAAATTTTGCAAGCACAGCCACGTCACCGTAGACACAGAAAAAGTGCGTGGGCAATTCCGTCGCGATAAAGATGCCGTAAATATTTCCTCTGTTGAAAATGTTGTACCTAAAATTGCACCGTGACATTTGTGCCGTCGTTCATCGTCAAGTGAAGTCGTAAAAGTACGCACTTAATTAACGTCTTCATTAAGGGCGCGATAAAACTAAGCAAGCGCGTACTCGTACTAGCTATTTCGCAGTTGTAACATTCGCATTATCAACGTAAAATTCAGAAAAATTTTAATCAAAGAATTTTCAACTCGCGACTAAAATCGCGACTTCAATTTTCCATTAATACACCGGGATAGATGCGTTTTCGATTGACGGGCGGATTGAACACACTATACTGTGAGAGAGAAAATATCTAAGAAATAAAAAATATTTATTTCATGGGTGCTAATAACATGTTTACTCTTATATTGATATAAGATGTGTGTGTGTGTGTGTATATATATATATATGAAAAGCTAAAAAATGTATATTTTCTTAATTTATATATATATATATATATATATATATATATATATATATATATATATAAATTAAGAAAATATACATTTTTTAACTTTTCATGAAAAAAGAAATTATTTGTTCTATTTAAATAAGATTTTAGATTTAAGTGAGTATTAGCATCCACTGAATAAATCTTTTTTTTTATTTTTAGATATTTTTTCTCAGTGTGCGTTCAAAGATTCTGTTCAACCAGCCAACTATAATTATATGAAACATAATTTATCAAATCTCTTTGGTAAACGTCGACAAAACAAACAATCAAGCAAGTGGCGTTGAGTTATGTCGAGGTCGTTGTTACAGAAAGAAGAAGCAAAAGTCGCGACGAGCATACGAACGAGCGACAGGCAAAGTAAATAAAAATAGTTCTTATTAGCTTCGTTACTTCACTCGTGAGCATTCTTTTAGCAAGGAATAGCCGTTCAAAGTCTCTCGAAATACGTACAAATACAACACAAACACAAGAGTGAGAACGTTTCTCTATCAAAACCGACTTTATTTTTTCTCGCGCGAAGGTCAAACGCGATGTGATAAGTATTTAGCGCGGGTTAAACAATGTGTCTCACGTAAGTAATTGTGCTTTATCTCTGAGCAAATATGTATGTATATATTTTTCTCGCCATTCATATCATTTCTTGGCATATAGATATGTGTATTCCTCGAAGAGATATACGTGTCAAAAATATCGGCGGGGTCTTCACTGAAGAAGTTAATGCGGGATAGTTTGATTTTTTCGCGCATACTCTCGAGGCATTTTTTCATTCTTTTTCACTCCGCCGTGCACAGTGTTACGTGGATTGTCAAACTTACGTTCCACGATGTTATTTTCATTTCGGCGGGTATCGTTGACTTCACGGAATACGGTTTGTCGGTGGTCGTGCCATCTGAAAACATAATATTGTGCTTCATAAAGTTAACGCTAATGATACGTCAAACTAAGCACGAACGTTTCCCTCCGTCTTTTAGCTCGATAATAGTGCTACTTCTCCACTGAGAACATTAGCTTTCAGATTTTAATCTTAATATATATTCGATTGGGACCGCGTTCAGACGGTGAATGAATTAGCGTGTGTTTATGAGCGCGCGTTAATCGCATCAGTTTGTTACTCAAATGAAATTTCACTTCCCCGTAATTCATCAATTTATTATCCAAACAGAGCGATCTTCCTCGCAACGCTTTTTCGTTATTTAACGTCATTTCAATCGCATTTCGTGCATATCCACACATGGATTCTTCAATAAAATTGTGATAAATTAAATATGAACGGTAAAAACTTGGATAAATCTTAGTTCAATAATTATCTTTTCGGCGAAGAACTTACTCTGTCCGTAGCTGATATGAAGATGTGTCGTGAAGATTAACGTGCCGAGTAAAAGCTGTCGGAAGCTGTGCATCCTTCGATGATGTCCGCGACTACATTTTATCGACGCGTACGTCAATCATTGATTCCTTCCTGGGTCGTTAGATCTCATGTCCGGAAATGCTTCGCTCAGCGTAACCAGCAGCCAGGTGAATCGATACTGACACTCGTCTGGTCATTCTGACCCAGACGACAGCCACGTAGTGACGAACACTACTCGTTCTGTTATATGTCAGTGTGTCACGCGACCGTCGAAGGTGTCCAAAGAGGGGTAAAAGGGCGATAGAAACCCCGACGACGTCCTGTACGCGCGGGCGCCGTCAACCCTCGACACATTCCCCGACAATCCATCAGTCATCTTGCCAGAACTTTTATTGGCTCTTGCATTGACCGATTGTTTTCAACAAGAATTCATGTATGTCACGTTTAATTTAGGAAATTATCTAAGTGCACAATTATGCGAAATGCTCTTTGAATATTATAAAAATTGCTGCATTATTCACATATCAGTCATAGATCTCTCTCGAAATATTTCATGAAAATCAAATGGGACGTTATTTACTTTAAAATTGATTAAAAACAAAATCTTTTAAAGTTCCATGTAATTTGCTGCACGTAAAAAAAGGAGTGCATTTTATATTAATATTTCACATATGTGCAAAGATAAATATCCGATGAGACGTTGATAAGGAAAAAGGACGCGCTGATCTGATTTAATATTTAATTGCGATACTGAGTGATTAATCGGCAACATTGAACATATTTGCCGGGAGGAATACGTATGTACATACGTTTTGTCGCGCAAGTCGTACCGAATAAATTTAACAGAGTATCCAGCTTAATATTCCTCAATCTTCTAACAAGAGTGTTACTTGATCTAATCTGCAAGTAACAAACAAGAAGTAATGAAAGAAGATATACAGAAATCAACTTCTGGTATGTCTTAATTATTCTCTAGTTATATATTGGAAGCAGACGTTTATCAAATAATCGATTACTCAGAGAGGAGGGGATATCTTATGTAGTCGTTTGTCAGTTTTCTTTTTCTATGGTGAATCTGTATTTTATTTCAAAATTCACAAAATTTTGGACATTCGTATAACAATATATGGTAATCACAAGAAGTACGCAATATTTATTCTGGAGACAAATTGAAAGAGATTAATCGTTCGCGGACGAGACGTAAGGCCCACGTGAAGGTGCATTATATCAGTCGGCTCGAAGGTTGCATTAAATGTGTGCGATCAATATACGCACCATTAGTAACATTAAGCAAGTAATCGTGTGAATCACCCGTCAGAGAAAATTAATAGTGATATTATTAATAGGACCTGCATGTCAGCGTATAAAGGTATAATGTCAAGTGGAATTGAGATCATTGAGATTAATCGTCTTTGATACACGTCCTCCTTAAACGCGCGAAGGGACCTTCATCTAGACAAACTAAACTAAAAAATTAATTTAAGGTCAATTTCACTTCTCTCGTGAGATTATGCGCGTGTAATCGTTTATTGTCCATACGTGTAACATAATGAATACTTTCACGTACGTGCATAACGTCTTTACACAGAGAGAACGATTTGGTTGAATCAAATAAACACTTCTTTGGAATAGCCCAAATGAATTTTTTGATTGATCGAACAAAATTTTGTTTGACGCAACAAAAATATTTATTTGCGGCTTAGTTCCAAAGAAATATTTGTTGTATCAACCAAATAATATGTTTGGACTATTCCAAAGAAACGTTTATTTGATTCAACAAATCGTTCTCTCTGTGTACGTAATGTGACTTCTTTCGAGAAGTAGCGCCTTAGAGCTAATGTTGATAAGGATTGTGTGACGTCGCGTGTAAAAACGGCGATGATAATAAAGTGTAAATGTCAACTGAATGGAGAATAATCCCCATCTTGGGAATAATTTTCGTATTGTTTATCGTTAAGTTGACATCAACATCTACAATATCAAATCACATCGCCTGTGTTTTACGTAATATATCGCCGCTCCTCGAGTTGTCATTCGCCGCGGCAAAGGATCGCGTCTCAGCACTGAAGGATCGAGTCAGGATCGAAACACGATGAAACGCATGAACGGTTTCAACGACATGAACATCGCTAATAGAGACACTAGTTTCCATTCTATACAGACAAAAAAGCTTGGTTGCATCAACCAAATCTGGTCTGGTGAAGTATGAACGAATCAGAAATTCCGAAACTTGGCGGAATTCTGCTCAAGTTAATAAGATTTCTGATTAACTTGCAAGTTGACAAGATTTCTGGTTAATCAGAACTTGCAACTACTCAAATTATCCAGAAATCTTGTCAACTTGAACAGAATTTTGGTAATTTTAAGCGAAATTCTTTTACCACAGAAATTTGGTTGATTCGACCTAGCTTTTTTCCCGTGTTCTAATTGTTCATTTCATGTATCCTGTGTATATCTTGTATCTCTTTCCGTGTGGTTAGATCGTATCTGTTGCTATTTATATCAGATTTCGACGTTTCGTGTTTCGACCCTGACTCGTTTTCACGCTATCTCATCATCATCGCGCGGGGGAGATTGTCGAAACGAAATGGAAAGAAGGAGGGGTGGAAAATGTTGCGAAAATAGAAGGCGCCGTCGAAATGCGATCGAGCAAGCTCGGCGGCAACGTTAGCGATATAAATCACATCTCATTACAACGAGATGACGAGAATGAAGAATGACAACGGTCATTATAACTGCGCAACGGGCAATGGTACACAATAATCTCGATTACGATAACGTAATTGCCGTCTAATCAATAAATGACAGCCTTGACGGCTATAATTGTTTTGTGACATCACTTCAAAAAGATCGGCGACGAACAGGCGAGCAGCGCGACATGATAGTCTATCGAGATTGATGGCGAGGAAAATTTGACAACCCATGAACATGAAAAACACACGAGAACTACTACAAACTACTACAAACTTTATTACTAAAAATATGCTTTGAGAAGAATTTATAGGAAAGAAAATAAAACTAATATTCTCTTCAAAAAATCACGTGAATGTCACGAATACGATAACATAACACAATTTGAAGAATCTAACTTCTGAATCTTCGCACGTTGTCAAACGTTTTCCTCGCGATGGATCGCAACGAAACAGGCTCGACTTGATCCGAGTTAGCGAATTACCGTCTCTTCGTGAGCTTACGAACACGTCCGCGACATAGGCGGAGAAATTCGATTAACTGGGATAAGCGCTGGACCGACGTTGTAGATCCTACGAGAGTCAGTTGTAAGGTGCAAGTTGTATAAGGCGGATATAGTGCGTGTATACTTCGGAATGGCATTTGGGTCTTTACGTGCGTGACGAAGTAAACGACATGTGTTTTAAGGAGATCAATTGTTACGAATACGTAACAAGAGCTCGACACTCGGTCGGTGAAAATGAATCGTGACGCCCAGACAACATAAATTTCTAAAAGACTTCTTGAAAAGATCTTAGAGGAGTCTAAAAGGTATAGAACGTTTTTCAGAGGTTTTTAAAACAGTTTTTAAAAGTTTGCGCTGCTGGCGATTTGTTTAAGTTTCTTCCGTCTCAACGATAAGCAATTTGTTTTGCAATCACAATGTCTTGTCAATCGTCTTTCTTCCTTTCCCTCTCGACTATGTTATAATAATTAAGAAAGAAAAAGAGGAATATCGTATAAGCTGAAATCTCGTAAATTCAAATCTAAATTAATCACCACATCCTCATAACACATTGTCTTGCAATTTTTATCTCGTTATACATCGTATATTTACCGATTCTTTTGTTGAAATCACTTCTTATCTCACGTCCTTGTATAATCAAAAACAAAAGTGCCTCTCGAAAAGGATGGCAATTTGTGATCTTTCTTTCGACGGTATGAAGTTTCATTCATTCTCTCGAAATTTCTTGGAGTGGAGTCTCACTCGAGACGAGTGAAAAGTGACAGTATTTTCATTCGAAATAATAGTGAAGATGCTGCCACTCGGTTGTAAATCGATTTGTACACTTTGTCGAATGAAGTAAAATGAGAGAAAATATTCACTCGATGATTCGGAGTAAAAGATTCACTCTATCTGGCTGGAAAATCACTCAAATTCACTCTATTTTCCGAGTGAAATTTTACTCCAAAAAATCTAGATCGGTTTCATACGATCGTCGTGCGAATGTGAAGGTAGAGTTTCTTAAGGCTACCTTATGTTTCTAAGAGAAGGCATCTTCATGGCACACTAGTAGCGTCGCGTTCGGCGAGTACAACGATTTTGCAATTGTTACCCGACAATCGGATTTAATCGGAGAATTCTATCCAACAATCAGATACGAATCGACTATTAGCAAGATAACAGTTAAGTCTAGATTAACATTTCGAACGAATCTCTTGCACATCGTCGATTCACATCTCACTCTTGGGAATCGATATCAATCGTCACGAGTCGAGTCTCCGCCAAACTTGCCCACGAATTTCGGTGCGAAACAATAAATCGGTGTACACATGATGTAAGCTTCCCGATCATTTCGATCCTTCCCACAAAGGAATACGTGTCCTACGAATAAGAGTAATATCACCATGTGCGGTACAGTCGCGGATACCTCTCTGAAATTCGTCACAGCCTCTGGCTTATTAAAAGCAACGCTAGCTAGACAGTAATGTCCTACGAAATTCGACGTCCGTTTACGACGATCGCGCCTGGTTTTACGTCGCGAAGCAATTACAATTTTCTCGCGTACTCCCGCTCTCGATCTCGTAAAGGAACCTCGAATTCAGTACAGAAGAAGAGAAAACTAACGGTATCAAGCCATTCCTTCTGTGCTTCGTCGCCAGGAATCACCATGCGATCGTATCTTCCGATTGTTATGTCGCGCATGCATATAATAATCACGACACATCCGACGCTAAAGTCACGAGCAGAGTAATTTCCAACGACGTTCGTGTACGCAGAGCGGTCGAAATGTGCACACGAAACCTCTAGACGGTATGGCTGACTTATAAAAAGTTCATTCTTTCCTCCACTTAGCGTGCTATCTCTTGCATATCTTGCACTAACTTCATTTTCGGGCATAATACTACAAAATAAAATGAAGAGTCGACAGGTGTCAAGGATGTGAAAATTTCGACTCCCGTTATCTCTCAAATTTTATGAGATCACGTAAAAATACACAGGGAGAAATGAATATGCGATATTGTTAACGCACAATATCGCACATTTAACGCTAAACGAGTCGAGGTGAGAACCGATGGAATGGATTACAGCAGTCGAAGAATGCCAATTCAATAACTCGCCCGACTGATAAGTGTAAAAAGAGAAAAAAAAAGAAAAGAACGTCCAACCGCGATCGATTTCGTCGGACGAGGCAAGCATGACGTCGCGTGACATCGACGACACGCGACGTTCTCCATTTTTCACGTGTCGCACGATGATCGCTCCGGTATAATTATACGTAATCATACACGCGGTAGATACACGCGTATAAATCGCAATTGATTTCTCTCTTCCTCTCGACGTTGATTCTTCCGAATTGGCATTCGCGGGCCGATCCGCGAATGCAACTGATGTTGCCTTTCGCGATCACAAGAGCGTGACAAATACCGCAAACGAGTTATTGGCGAAATGAACATCAAGTTTGCAAATGCAATTTGCCATACACTCGAGCAATCGTGTAAAACATTGCTTGCATTGCATTCTCGATCGAACGGCTTATTCGTAAACTTGTTTTTAGAGTTTAAGGACAAGTAGATCACACTCCTAACGATGGGGTTGTGTTCACAAGTAAATTAAAAAAAAAAGAAAAAAGATATAAATCGAAATTTGGCACAAAGCCTGTTTTAATTTACTGTATCAAACTATTGGCAGATTAATCTGAGGAAAAAGCGCCGTTTCTCACATTAAACATATTTTAAATGAAACACCTGCGCAATTTCGAGAGAACAATATCTTAAATATACATTTATGAGATATCCCATTGACGTGGACAAGACAGAGCAGCAGACGAAGGAAGAACCCTTCAGAAATGCTTTAATAATAAATATCGAGATCCAATAATTGCATAAAATCGGACTAAACATCTTGTCCGCCTCAAGAGATTTCGCTCTACATAATAATCTGCTTTCTATCACAATTAAAGTTTAGCTTTTAGTGGTATTATATATATATATATATATATATATATATATATATATATATGTATGTATATATGTGTGTGTGTGTGTGCGTGTGTATTATATATATATATATATATATATATATATATATACATATACACACACATATATATATATATATATATATACACATATATATATATATATATATATATATATATATATATATAATAGTATAAAGATCAGTTTCTTTTTTCGCGATTACATTAATGTATACATCATTATCACGAATCAATCATTAGCGTGAACGAGATGATGCGATTGCCGGTAAATTTTCCAACGTATGTGTTTGTGCTTATGTATGTTCATATTTGTATGTCCTGTATGCTGTGTATGTGTATACGTGCGTATTATCTTGGATTATCCGGTTTTGCATGGTGATCGAACGGTAAAGCGGAAATCGAAATGTTACCGATCTCCGAACGCTCATTAGTGTCGGCGAACTGGCTATTGTTGTGGACCGCAGTAAGTGTACAATTCGCTAAACGTGCACCCATTGAGACAACACTCCTCGTAGATACCTCGTTCCTTTCGGACGCGGCTGCCATGGTAGCGATTTATAAATTGGGTCGCCCCCATCCCGGATATAAAGAGGGAAGGTCTTTCATAGTTGAGCGGATATTCGGACACTTCCAACTCTGAAACAAAAGCGAACTTTTTTTCAAGGTGCCGATAACAGAGCTTGTATATTGCTTGATCGTATCTTATTAAATTCTACAACCTAACCTCGGGGTTCAATCAAACAAACGCGATTCTCTTATCGTCTGTTTCATTCCCATTTGCCCACTCCTTACCGCATAATATCGCGGATAATAAACATTTCTACAGGAACATCATTTATATACGAATCATACAGTTTCGATAGAACGTTTTCGAGGAATTGAATCAATGAGAAATTGGCTGCATTCAGCAGACTCAACAGTTGAGCAATGATCGTTGATTGTTCGCTTTTTCTACCGAACGCGCCCATTGATACACTATTCGAGCGTTTGATAAATTAAGAATGAATTTGATGCTAATTTCACTTTTTTTTATGCTCGATGGTAAACGTATGCTTATATTCTTTTAACTTGAGAAAATGAGAGATCTATACGCGCGTCACATTATGCCTCACGCGTATCGCATTATTTATACGCAAATAAGCAATATTTGGAACGATGGACACGCGCCTTTCACGATCATCAATAAAGCTCCCGTTCAGCTGTCCAGATCCCACTGTCAGATTATGCGAATCCGTCTGACCGATCGGACATAACGATAAGCCGTTTTGCTCGTCCGAAAAAAATGCGAATCCTCCACGTGGATCCCTCGTGGCCGTGTGTTCTGGCGCGAATCGAATCGAGAAGACTGCGAAAAAATGCAACAACGCCTACGATTATTGGCGTATTCAAGTTATCCGACAATTAGAGAGTGTGTCGGCTCATGATCCCGCCCGAGAATACGTAATGCGAAGTCCGCATGCATTATTCATTGGCGGCAAAGTGGCGATTACTCAGTTAATTGCGGGCACCAGATTGATCGCGCACTTAATCGTCTTTCGTGGAATGTGCCGTGCTGCTCGAGAAGCTGTTAAAACTGAAAGACCCGGTGCAATAACGAGGAGAGAATTCCCTCACGACTGGGAGAAGCCTCCCGCGAGGTTTACTTTGCACGCCAAGTTGTATCTGAGGTGGACAAGTACGTGAATTACGACCTGACCTCATTCTTAGATGGAACCGCTCAATCGTGGGTCCGGTATAAATTAAGACTCATTTATATCCCCACGGGTCGTCTTAAATCCGCACGTCCGACATCACGATTCGCGGGTGCGACTATTCATACTTGAATATATCCGCGTGTTCCACGGACAGACGTGCGTAAAGCGATGCCGTTGATCTCAAAAACGAACCAGGTTTCTCTAGACTATCAATTAAATTGAGGAAGGTGTCGTAATTTTGTGGCTTATCCTTTAACTCCGTGAAATTCGTAAAATTTTAGCGTCCGAGTGATGTACCGGGGTGATGTTAATCGAGAAAGAAGGAATCCGAGCATTATTAATATTAACGAGCGACTCGACACGACATGACATTACAAAGGCAAATTCGTCGCGAGGCGATTCTGCCATCAAGAAACGTACTAGCTGAAATTATCATCGCACGCCTGCGTGCGCAAGAACACACCATTCGCCTGAGGGAATCCCGAAGGGATTCGATCTCTTGGATGAAAAAGCACATCATTATCGTTGTATCGCGATTAACCTTCAGTTGTACAATCTGCTTAATCGCTACGTGAGAAATTAATTTCACCTTGGAGTGAAGAACATTTACCGATGTGTGCACCGAAATTTGCACCTTTAATAATTAATCCCAAAACCCATGTTTACACCCATGTTACAATAATTGTAATTTTACCTGAAAACATATTATTGTGCCCGGTGCCGGTATCGACAGACAATGATCTTTCTTGTTGTGTCTTATTTTCCTCTTGTTGGACATTTTTTTTAAACATATTATTATATACTCCCGTACAGACTGTTTGTAGAATATTCGACAGTCTCCTGCCGCAGTACCTTTGCCGCACATCTACGGGCCATCTCGAGCGCAGTTGATCGGACTGTGCGTTTCCTGATTTTGCGAGGAACGCCACAAACACCAGGGTCACGATCACGCTTAATCGATACACGGACATCTGAAAGCAATATAATCTTCGTTTAATAGAGTACTCACAAGTGAGTACTCGCGATTCTTTCGTCATTTTATTGATGCTTGTGCACGAAGAAAAAAGTTTTATTGTGCGTAATGAACGTAGCAACGCGTTTGATTCAAGAAAATGAAATTTCTGATTCTTAGAATCAAACCTGGGTCATAATAACTATAAAACGCCAGAAGCGAGAAAATGCATGCCCAAAATTCCCGCGAAGCACCTCGAAATAAACGGATATATTGAAAAAATGACATTTGCAATCGATTAAGCATATTTCGTAGCAACGCTCAAATACAACTCATCGAACTGAGTAGAAAAATTTTCTATTTTTCTGCAAACCACGATAATTTCGTAGATATTAATTAAAGAAGATTAATCAATGAGGGAATCAATGAATCAATAGGCGAATCAATGCGCACGAAAATTATCCTGTAAGAACAAAAATTATCGTGTTTGTAAAATGGTAGAGGGCTCTTCTGTTGAATTTGATGAGCTCTGCCTGCAGATAAGCGTTGCTACACTTAAGTCCGGACCACCCTGTATACATATGGAATATAATTGCCTAATAGGCGGGACGTCGGAGGCGACATGGCATACCAATGACCGTGCGCAGAGTACGGCTATTTTTAGATATCTTTCATTTAAATATAAGTCTTCTCGCGCGCCAAGAAAGAGATAGGAAGAAAGAAAGAAAGAAAGGAAGGGGAGCAATCCGTCGAGAAATTCCCGGCATAACTCAAGAAAGAGAACAAGAACGCTCTTCTCGTGCCTTCATTATAGATACGACCTTTGTTCACACATTAGCACCAACATTATTTCGGTCAAGTGGTTGTCTTCAATGTATTTTTGTTATTTTAGAGTAGCACACGTGCAACGTTTGTTCTCCGGGCGAGATATTGCGGACACCTCTCTCTCTCTTTCTCTCTCTCTCTCTCTCTCTCTCTCTCTCTCTCTCTCTCTCT